AAAATATTTTTGTAAATACAACCTTTCCCCACTTTCTAATATAAAAGGGCGAAACCCTTCATAGGAAGAATTAAACAATAAACTTTTCGGCATGATAAAACCCAAGCAGCCAGTTTTATAATTAAGTTTTCGCGAGGCTACTACATTAGCCATTAAAGCACAAACATTTAAATTATTGCCACCAATATTTCGTGAAACACCAAATATAGACTTGACATTTTTTAATAATTTAATGCGATTACGATAATTTTCTGGTAGATCAATTCAGGATATTCAAGGCGGATTACCAACAATTAAATCCACGTCTTCTATTTGAGAAGCTTTATAAAATTGCTTAATGATGTTAATTCATATCCCATCTCAATTTCTTTTGTTTAACTCGATTAATTTGAATGCCATTTTTTCGATGCATTTTAATTCTTCTTCAGAGTCAATTCCAAGATCTTCACGAAAAATTTCAGTTATATTTTTAACTGCATCTTGTTTAACATCTCTGATGTTTCTAAGCAATTTCCCGAAAAAGCCGTCTGATAACTCAATTCCCATAGGAAGGTAAATTTCAATAATTTCTCCAATTTGCGTATCTAACTGATAAAAAAATATTTTCTTTTGTTAATGTATTTGAATTGAGGTTGGTAAATTGAATCTGACAGATAAACAGGTATTTCAATGGTTTCTTCTTTTTGGTAATAATTTCTGATGGTTAGTAAATAGTTAATTCTGGCTTGCAAAACAGCAATGGGATTTAAATCTATTCCGAAGATATTTTTTGTAAAATCTTTGTTAGTTAATTCGTTTTTTTCTTTAATGAGTTTTTTTATATAACTGGTTAGAAAAATTCCCGAACCGCAAGCCGGATCCAATATTTTGTTAATAGATACTTTGTTCTTGCTATTTTTAGCGGCTTCTTCAATAACTAAGTCGGCTAATCATTTGGGAGTATAATATTCCCCTAGTGAATGACGCACTTCAAAAGGAATGAAATAACGATATAAATCAATAAAGAAGTGAGTAGCCACAATATCATCGTCTTTGTAGTTAATGTTTTCATATTCAGATATTTGCTCTATAATTTTTCGTATTTCATTTTCGCATTTTTCAAAAACTTCTGCGTATCAGCCAAAAAAGTCTCCTTCAAAAAAGTTGACAATATTATAGTTATCTTTGTGAATGTTACCACGTTCCAAATCAACTAAAAATTTTTTCAATTCATCCCGTGAAGAAAGAGAAATCCTTTTTAAATTAATGGGGTCGTTGAAACTAAACTTCTTTTCTAAGACCTTGAGAGAAATTATTTTCAAGGAAAAAGCAAAAGCGGTTTGTAGAGAAAAAAGGCATTTATTTATTCTTTTGTTTTCGTTTTCGCCAATTTCTACTTCAAAAAAAGCGGAAAGCGAACGAACTTTTTTTAGATAATCCTCACTTCTGTTTCTATCGGTTTCAGACAGGTTAAAAAGTCTTTTTCACTCACTAAATAAAATTTTTATTTTGTTTAAAATCTGAGAATTTTCTAAAATGAAGAATAATTGGCGAGCAAAATTGTCTAGCGATTTAGTTTTTTGGAAATCGTTTATCAAATTTTCTGAACTAAATACTTTTTTTTCATCACTTAAAAGCAAATAAACCAGTTTTTTTATAGTATTTTCGTCAACAGCGAATATACCAATGAATTCTCTATTTTCATAGAAACCCAGTTTATAGCCATCATAAAAAATGGCATTGATGCGTTCTGTTTCCTCTTTTTTGTCAATATATTCTTCTTCAATTTTTTTTCGTGTTTTGTCAATATTTATCTGCCGAGAAAAAAAATTTGGTTCTTTGAATTCAATAATTGTGCGGTTATTGACAAGAGCGTCAAGTCGCTTTCTTGATTTTAACTGATGTTCGAATTTTCAATTAAGAGGTAAATCATTGTCATTGAAAAATTTTTTTATCTCTCCCGTAAAATAAATTTTTAAGTCTTCTTCATTTTTAATGAAAGGTTTGTTTTTGATCAGGAGTTTTTTATAAAGTTTTTCAATATCTCCCAACCTGCATTCTTTTTGTTTATGGTTCATTTTTCCCTTTCGTAAATTCAGTTAATAAATCTTTGGCCTTTTTCCACCCATCATTAGTTTCTGTTTTGACCAAAAAAACATGACTTCCTTGTGCATTGGGGCCTTTTAGTTGATATTTTTTTATTAAAAATTCGCTAGGGCCCACCAGGAAAATCTTTGGTTGGCGGAAATAATTAAATCGGCTTCTAAAACAAATAGAAAAGGTAGTCTCTTGACCAATCCCGCCAAAATTTCAACCAGCTCCGCCTCTCCTCCCCGTCTTGGTTAGAGAACTATTAGCAGTCAAAGATTCGATTTCGTGTTCAATTCATTTCTTTAATTGGTCTATTCAAAGCGGTTTTATCAGTTTTTTACCACCGCCGTTTTTATTATTTATTGAAAAAGCAATTATTTTCGAATCGCTACTCTGCAATAGAATAAAAAAATCTCCTCTCTTATCTTTATATTTTGTTATTTTTATTAAACAAATTTCTTCTTCCCACTCTTCCTCGACACCAATCGCATAATCATCAAATTCCGGAGCAATACAAATAATTTTTGCTTTACAGTTTTTAAAATCTTCTAACTTTCGGTGTTTGTCAACTTGTTTATTCCATTTTAAAATTAACTCATACAAACTGCTATCTTTTTTTTGAAGACCGTCGCGGTATTCCCTAACCTGTTTAATTAAATCTTCATCTATTTTACTTTTATACTCGAGTATGTATAGCCTTTTTTCACTTTCGCAAAAGGCTAAGGAGTCAGGCTTTTTGTTTTTGTTAAAAATAGGTAGTGTATATGCTTTTACCTTCATCATACAGTTCTAAATGGGGAAAAAGTTTCGAAAAATTTTCCAGAATAATTTTTCTGATTTCGCTATCTTCTTTGCCTTTTAAACTTATTTCTTCTGTGGTTTCCAGAATTAAACTTTTACTTTCTAACCTAAATAATTTGCTAAAATACATTTGCTTTTAATGATTTACATTTTACATTTTCATATATGCATCACACACATTATTCAAAGTTTTTTTCTTTATTTTTCAACTGC